ATATTGGCCAGCCAATATAGTGGTCGGCCTCTACTCTGAGCCACTTGTAAACGGTTCAGGGAAGTTTTGCCCAGACAAGTGAAAAGTGAAAAAGTTGCAGCAGTCTAAGCATGAGGAGATGAAGCTGTGGAAAACAATCTCAAGTTCAGAGCGGAACAGAATTAGCCTGGCAAGTCAGACTAAATAAATACATTAATTAGTGTGGCAAGGCTCCATTGATTGTCCTTGGTCGTGTGTGTGTGTGTGGGGGCTTCTATTGTTGTCTTTCAAATGATCTCCGCATGCTACTGGACAACGAACAAGGTGACGTGCTCACCACAATGGATGTCGGGAAACAAAGTAGTCCACTGTTTAAGAAGGTGAAAATACATAATTTTTCTAAATAAAGGACTTAAATACATCTGTTCCTGATTTAAAAAAAAAACGATTTGAAACCCCTCTAGAGAGCTTTGATTGGCCTGCCAGAAGGGACCGCAGAGCTTCCAATAGAACATTCCTGGACCAAGCTTTGCAAAGCAAGAATTTGGTCCAGTTCACTAGGTAAAGTCAGAATGAGACTCAGCTTAGCAATGTTCCTGGGATGGAAGAAGGAAGAGCGAACAAGAAAACTGACATGAGAATCCAGAGTGATAGCTGGGTCAAAGGTCACACCAAAATACCTTACATAGGGTTTGGTGTAAGAAGAAAGCTGACCAAGAGAGTCTCTGACTTTGGGAACCAGCTTGTCTGGGGCACAGATGAGGATCTCGGTCTTATCTTCATTCAGCTGTAGAAAGCTCCCAGTCATCCAGGTTTTAATAGAGTCTAAGCAGGTGTGTAACAGCTGCAGATTAGTCATCTCATGGGGCTTAAATGAGACGTACAGTTGGATGTCAGCTGCATAAAGATGGTAGGAGATTCCTTTAAAAAAACTCAGGATGTGCTGAAGAGGGAGCAGATAGAGGAGGAAGAGCAGAGGCCCCAGCACAGAACCTTGTGGGACACCATTGGCAAGGGAGGTGGTGGAGGACCATACAATTGGAGACTGCCACAGAAGGAATGCTCATACAGATAAGAGGAGAACATCTCAAGAGCAGTTCCTGATAGGCCTACCCAGTCTCTCAGCCTCTCCAGTAGCAGGTGATCTTCAAGAGTGTCAAAGGTTGCAGTCAGGTCCAGAAGGACCAGAACAGAACAGTCCCCGTTATCACTATGAGTCAGATGGCCGATACCCTAAGAAGTGCTGTTTCAGTACAATGAGCTCTACGAAAACCTGACTGGAAACTATCATAGATGTTATATTCATCAAGAGCAGCTGTGAGCTTTTAGCCACAACATTTTCCAAGATCTTGGAGATGAACAGAAGTTTAGAGATGGGTCTGAAGACCCATGGAGAGAAGGGTCATGATTGGGTTTTTGAAGAAGCGGGTGGATTACAGCATTCTTAAAATAAGCAGGGACCTGCCCAGAAACCAGGGAAGCTATACCTGGCACTGATATTCTACTAGCATGTTAACTTACATTCCTTTATTTAAGATTTTTGTTTTTTATATCAAGTCATTGCAATATTTTATTATTTTCAGAGGGTTCAGAGAAAAGGACAAAGCAAGTAGAAAAACAAACAAATAAAAGCATTCAGTCAATGGTGAACAAAAGACAAAACAGCACAACAAGAAGTTTTATACACCTTTTATTGTTTTTAAACAGATGCACTACATTTGGTGCACTACATGAATGGAAATGAAGCTGCCCTCTGTGTGACTGAAATTTAACAATGTGTTCAAATATTCTCCTGCTGCATTTGATTACACTATAGCCATAATTTGTTTGCTACACACATTTTCAGGAAACAATAACCTATTTTCACCATAAAGCACATTCACCTGATGTTACTACTCAAGTTCACCAGTAGATGGTGCTAAACAATCCAATGTTTGGTGTTTTCCATCCCATTTGTATGTCTAGAGGTTTTCAATTTGTTAGTACAGACTCAAGAATAAACACAGTTTAATATAAAATAACTTTTTGAATACTGAATGGCAACCCTTTCATAGTACAATTTCCTGACCCAAATTTTGTGATGGCTGCATGGTGATGCATTCGTTTGTTTCAGCAAAACAATCACAGGTTGAAATCCTTGCAGTGGCTTTCTGCATAAAGTTATATTCTCCAAACGCATGTGTGGGTTTTCTCAAGGTACACCACTTTCTTCCCATACAACAAAAGCATGCATGTCAGGTTGATAGGAGAGTCTAATATATTGCAGGTGTGTGTGTGTGTGTGTGTGTGTGTGTGTGTGTGTGTGTGTGTGTGTGTGTTTGTAAATGGCCTTCATTTGTCCATAGTAAAATCTCAATTCACCCATTCACACACAATTTCACACTCTGACTACGAACGCTATAGTCTCAGACGTGCTGGGGCACCCCGACAGAGGCGAGGCTGCCATACACAGGTGCCACTGGTCCCTCTGACTACAGCAAGTAGACAAGGAGGACTGAAGTGTCTTGATCGATGACACTTGCATGGACAGAGCCTGGGTTTAAACCATTGACATATATATATATATATATATATATATATATATATATATATATATATATATATAGATATATATATATGGACAATGGGTTTCCATAGGCTCCAATAACACGTTTTTGTGCTAAAATGGGAGGTGGCCACCACCGCTATTTTGACCGTGTCACAGGCTCCGTCAAACCCAGGCAATTCCACAAAAGGGAAGAGAGGTGGAGCTGAGGGTGGGGCTGTAAGGCTGGGATCAAAACACCCGTTGAACTGAAGCTAATGTAGCTACAAGCTAACCTGAAGCTAACGCGGAGGTGGGAGCTAAGCTAACGGAGGTAGCAACCTAGCTACAACCAGAGATAACTGTGCACAACACCAGAGCTTCTGGGTCACAGATACGCCGGGCTGACTGCTGGGTAAAACTGGGTGGAACACAGAGGTCTCCCGAGAGCTCCACAAGCCGGCAGGCGCGCAGCAGACAAGCGCTGCTGCGATCAAAGATGCGCAGAGCTGCTGCTGGGGAGAACCGGGTGGAAAACATCGGTTACCATCCGAGAGCTCCACAAGCCGGCAGCCCGCAGACAAGCACTGCTGCAATCAGAGATACGCAGAGCTGCCGCTGGGCAGAACCGGGTGAAAAACATCAGTTAACATCCAAGAGCTCCACAAACCGGCAGCCCACGCAGCAAAGCGCCGCGGCGATCAGAGATGCGCCGAGCTGCAGGGAGGGGACCAAACCGATAGTCAGAACCCAGCTTCACCAACATGTTATATTTCAACCCATTTTCTAAAATGCAGCATTATGTTAAATGCACTGGGTTTTACCCTATTAAATTTAAATTTCATGGTTAAACAGCACATGTTAAAATCTAAGCTCAGCTAGTGCAAAAGCGGCAGTGAGAATTTTAGGCTTTTAATACACTTAAACAGAAGAGTGACAAAAATTCACCCCCCTCAGAGTTGTCATGAGTATAAACTAGATCTATTAAACCTAAAACATGTTTTGGAACCAGGCTGTAAACATGTTTATTTCTGCTGTGAAATTGGTATTTTTAACATGGGAGTCAATGAGGATTTGCTCACTTCTGACACCAGCCCCCAGCGGATGAGGGTGGAACTGCAATTTATTTCATTTCCACTTGTTTCAGACCCGCATTGTGGGGGCTTGGTTTAAACTGGCAGCCTGGTTGCAGGGAAAACTCAACTCAAATGCCACTATCACACTTTTGTGTATGTCTGTTTCCCTGTGATGGACTGGAGGGCTGTCCGGGGTGCCCTTACCTCATTTGTGTTACAGTACAACAAGTACACATCACACACACACGCACACACACACACACACACACACACACACACACACACACACACACACACACACACACACACACACACACACACACACACACACACACACACACACACACACACACACACACACACACACACCAGGATAACATAAATAAATGAACTAGACTAGAGAAATAATGTAAAACAAGATGAACAGGCTAGTTAAAAACATAAAATCCAAATGATTGATCCCCAGTGAGTCGTGGAGGATGGCTGCTTATACTGAGCCAGGATTCTCTGGAGGTTTCTTCCTGTTAAAACGGAGTTTTCCTCTCCACTGCCGCTGCATGCTTGCTTAGTATGAGGATTGCTGTATAGTCACTGACACTAGTCAGTGACTTGATGCAATTTGCTGGGTTCCTTATATAGGAAACATTATTTCTGATTGGCTTAATGAACTGTGAATTGGAATGTTTATTATGTGAAGTGCCTTGAGACGACTCTTGTCGTGATTTGGCGCTATATAAATAAACTTGAATTGAATTGAAAATCATAAATTTTAAAATGTATTTCAAATTGACAACTGAAGAACTTCTTTGAACATCTTTAATAAACTAAATAAATACACGAATAAACTTAAGAACTCTCTAACTAGTTCCAGCACAAATAATATCCACTATTGCACACACACACGCGCGCGCGTCACTTTTATCATGAGCGTGCAGAGTCAATTAAAATCAGTCTTTCAAAACAAAATATTTATGTAATCAAATCGTTCATAATGTCAAGCTATAAGATTTAAAACTTCCGGACAGATGCTCACTCGGACCGTTCTGTCCGTAGGTCCTTTCCGCACGGATCGTTCACTGACTGCACATCGGCAGATGACAACAACAAAACAGCTACTGAGAGGGTGTTAGCGTAGTTAGCTATTGGAGATAAACAACTGTCTGTTGTAGACTGTCTGTTACCTAATCACCGCCGAACATCTACCTTATAAAACTATTATTAACATGTACAGGTAATAATGGTAAGTTATCACCTGGCTTAGTCCAGCCAACGTTAGCTAAGTGGCTCGGAAAGCTAACCCTGAAGAATGCCAAGCTTATACGTGTTAGCTAACTAGCTCATATGCTAGCTTGTTAGCTAACCAAGTCGCCCAGGCGAAGACCAATGAGATGCGAGAAAAGTGAGGTAAGAAGAATGTTGTCGTTTATTTAGTTGATTTAGTATGAAGTCTTATCTTGAAATCAACACATGCATAGGTAAGTAATATCAACAACCTACGTAAATGTTAATACACTTGTCAGTTTCATCGAAATTGAACGCTACCGTATAAGCTTGCCAGTCTCATTAGCTCAGAGCTAGTTAGCACAGGCAGACATAGCAGGTTATTATTTGACTATTTAGCTTGCTAGCAGCTGCTGGTGGCCACTTATTTGACTAGTCTCTCCAGAGGCCATCACGCTTCCAAACAGCAACAGTGTTTTTTCATTTCTTATTCGACCAAGTATAATTCTAATCAAATAGGCCAGTAGACGTAAAATCCGTGACAGTATTACACTTGTCACAGTTTTTTTTTTATTTTGAGAGCAATATTGCGAGAGGCTACTTGTCGCTACATCATTATAACAGTTAATATGTGGCGCTAACTTTGTTTTTTTAAGATCTTAATTTGGTTTTTCTACCAGTAAAATTGTCTTGTCTAAGTCAATGCCAGCCAATTAGCCGTGTATTTGAAGGACTGCCTTTAATCAGGCCAGTATTTAGGTAACAACTGCTATAAGAGTTTGTCTAATCTGTGATGGTGACTCAGCTGCTGCTTCAGTGGACAAATAGAATTTCAAAAGTCAAAGTTGTTTCTGGTAAGAGTCTGATATAATAGTATAAAACTGTAAAATATTACTGTGCATTCTTACATGGGTACACTCAAACGATCAAATTGAAGTTGTAAAAAGTTCAAGTAGTTGTTTTTATTTTGTGTAGAACATGCTTACTTCCTGTTGATGTATTTTTTCTGATCTATTTGCTTCTATTTAATTTAATCAATCAGGCTTAAAAGTTTTTCCGTTGATCCATTTTCTGTTTTTTAATTATTATTCTTTTGTTTAGTATTTTTTATTACTGTTTTGCATTGTAACATCCTTCTCAGTTCTACAGCTTGCTTCACAGTGTTTTTATTTCATGTATCTCGTGAGTGGAGCTGGACTTAGACCTTGGGCAGCAGTTATAATTTGGTGAATGCAGTTAAGACTTAATTGTCAGTTTGCATCATCGTGTTTGTTTTTGTTGAATGTCTGCAGGTCTGTGGCACGGGACTAAATGAACAAGTCGGGCAAACTTGAAGAATTCTGGGAGCCTTACCATGAAGCTGTATGTGTTCCAGGTCAACAATGGCAGCACGTTGACATTTGACACCGACCTCGCTGTCCAAACGTGAGAAAATGATCTAAACCTAAACGATTCACAATTATTCATCCTCTTCATTTTACCCCAAAGTTCTGCGTTCTCTGTCTCAGTGTCCTGGAGCTTAAACATGCCATCCAAGCCAAATATAAGATTGCAGTTCAGCATCAAGTCCTGGTGGTCAATGGAGGGGAATGTATGGCTGCAGAGAGGCGAGTCTGCAGCTACAGTGCTGGCACTGTAAGTTTACACAAGATGTTTCTTGCTTCTGATTTTCATAGAGTGCTTACAGGAGAACGCGTAGCTGATGAGTCTCACTGGATTTTTAGGAAACCAACCCCATATTCCTGTTCAACAAAGAGATGATCTTGTCTGATCGGGATCCGACGATCCCCAAAACCACCTTCTCAATTGAGAGCGAGATTCAAGTAAAGGTGGAAGAGTCACTACTGATGCCAGCTGTCTTTCACACTGTTGCCTCACGAACACAACTTGCTCTGGTAGTTATTTGTTTCTCCTGTTAAAGATTAGCCTTTTTGCAGTTTCTAAATATAAAAAGAAATTGTTTATTTTACATATAGTAGATGTTTTGTGGCCAGAAACCTGCACATTTAGTTTGAATAACAAAAATATGCAAACCAAAGATGATATCAGATAATGTTATGGTCATGTGTTTCCCAGTGCTTTAGAGAAAATAGAAATAAATGTATTGAATGCTACTTTCTTGCTCCAGTTTTGGCTTTCTGACATATTTTATGACGTTCCCAGGAAATGTTCGAAGTTGCCAAAAAGCTTTGCTCTTTCTGCGAACGTTTGGTTCACGATGAACATCTCCAACACCAAGGCTGGGCAGCCATCATGGCCAATCTGGACGACTGCACTCTGTCTTATCAGAAGTTGCTGGTGAAATTCAATGGAGTGTACACAAATTATCAACAGGACTTGGAGGAAATAAAAGTGAAACTTTCAAAGTAAGTGTAGTTTTTTTATTATTATAATTTTAAGTTATTGGAAAACTAAGAGATTAAGTCTCTTATCTCTTGTCACGATTGCAGGTTGGGGACTTCGGTTTCTGTCATGGCTAGGATCCCTCTGCTGGAATGTTTGACGAGACACAGTTACAGAGAAAGCACGGAGAAGTCCAGTTCCACCCCAGAGAAGGATTCAGACGAGACAGAAGAAGAAAAATCCACCGACTCTGTGCTGTGCACCGCTCAAACCCCGATGCCCTCTAAGTCGCCGACGTCTTTGTCCACTTTGGGGACCGTCACATCTGAGCCAGATGGAGATCCGGAAGCGAATAAAATGACTGACAGCGGTGGGCTAAGAGCTGCGTTGTTAGACGATCTGGCCAGCCAGTCGTCGTTCAACGTCACGCTGTTAGACTGGATCAATGTCCAAGACAGACCTAATGATGTGGAGTCAGTTGTGAGGAAATGCTTTGACTCCATCAGCAGGGTGAGTCATCTAGAAATCCACACGAAAAAAATGGCTGTAGAATGCAAAGTGATAGAAATGTTTTTTCATGGAGATGTCTTTCAGCTCGACCCGCGGATCATTCAGCCTTTCCTGACCGACTGTCGGGACACAATTGCAAAGCTAGATAATCAGAACATGAAATCCATCAAAGGACTTGAAGACAGGCTATATGCTCTTGACCAAATGATTGCAAGCTGTAAGAAACTGGTGAACGAGCAGAAAGAACTTGCTCAGGTATGTAGAGATACATTTTTTATTACTATAATTTGCAACTTTTTCCATATTTTTTAATCATTTTCTTGATCCAGTATGTGCTAGAACGACCCTTTACACTCAGACCCCTACTACCCTCTTTGGCCAGAATATCACACTTGCAACTTCAGAGTGGTGGGTTGCCACCTGTTGGATTTATAAAAAGCTGAGCTGACATACCTGGCACTGCAGTCTGCTTCCAGCACGTTTCCTGCAAGTTTTAGATCATGAACACGGCAAATTTGTTTAATTTAGGGATGGACCGTTCCTGCAGAAACTAATGAAGGCTGGGGAGGCATTTCAGCTCATAGTTTAAGGTGATAAAAAGAGAATGCACAGCGAGGAGATAAGTTTCACTTTTGGTTCTACTAAATGGACACTAGGGGGTGATGAAAGCAAGCCTAAACTGCCTACTCCGTTTAAATCGTCTTTAGAAGTTGTGCTTACATGTTTTCGCTTGCAGGGCTTTTTGGCCAATCAGAAGCGGGCCGAAAACCTGAAGGATACATCTGTTCTGCCTGACTTGTGTCTGAGTCACACCAATCAGCTGATGATCATGTTAAACAACCACAGGAAACTGCTGGACATTAAGAAAAAGTGCACCACTGCCAAACAAGAACTAGCTAACAACCTGCAAGTCAGACTAAAGTAAAACCGAATAGCTTCTCTCCTTTTCATTTGCACTTGTTTTTATGACTTTAAGTCTTAAGATGGAAACTTGCTGTGGTTGTAGATGGTGCTGCTACGTGATGCTTCATGCAGATCAGGATGGAGAGAAGCTCCAGGCCCTCCTGAGACTCCTAACAGAGCTGATGGAGAGGGTGAGGGTGGTGGAGGCCCTCAGCACGGTGCCCCAGATGTACTGCTTGGCTGTTGTGGAAGTTGTCAGGAGAAAAATGTTTATGCGCCACTACAGAGAGGTCAGTGCAGAGTATCAGACCGTTTTAGCTTCCAGAGAGTTTTTAAGTTTGTTTTCATCTCTTAATATAGTAGAATATTCTCCTTTACTACACCTGTCAGAATCTTTCTTGTCATTCCTGTCAGTGGGCGAACGCACTTGTGAAAGATGGGAAACGACTGTATGAGGCAGAGAAGTTCAAAAGGGAATCTTTTGGGAAGCTCTTCAGTAAGTTTTCTTTTTACCTCCTTTGGTTTCTCTGAAATAATCAGCGTCTTTATTCAAACCAGCAGTCATGTGTCCCGTATTTCTTTGTAATTTAGGAAAGTCTTTCCTCCGAAATCGGTTGTTTAGAGGACTTGATTCATGGCCTCCAACTTCGTTTTGTGTAAGTTTGATTTGTATTTTATATTTGCTAATAATCTCTGATAGAGGTAGACCGATATATTGGGCCGATATTCACCGTTTTTTTTTTATACTTCACCATTGGCCGATATTTGTCATTGGTAAAGCTGATTTAAAGTCAGGCACATCCTCGGGCAGCCCAGTGCTGTTGTAGAATTAAATTTAAACGTTCACTAGTGACATTTGCATAATAAATACTCTAAATTAACTTTATTCAGCTGTCTGATTGTATTAGTGACATTTTAGCATGAAAATAATGTAGAAAATGTCTATAGATATCATAAAAATCTGCAGTACATATTGGCCATTGGCTGACCATGTCTCCTAGACATTGGCATCAGTATCGGCAAATAAAAAAACAATATCGGTCGACCTCTATTCTCTGAGCACGTCAGCAATTCTACAAAGTTTCTATAACTACGATGTGATTCTTGTAGACGCGGCGGCCCAGAAGGTTTGATGACGAACTTCCAGACATCTCACTTGATGACCTGCAGTACTTGAAATCCTGTTGTCCTGTGGAGGTGCAGCCATTTCTCATGTAAGTCGCTACTCCTGACACGGGTGCGGTGCATTTTCATATTGGGTTCTGATCACTGTGTGTTTTTCTCTGCAGGGTCCCCACCATGTGTGACTTTGAACCTTTAAATCACCACATCGAGTCTCTTCATCAACTGGTCCAAGCTGCTCAGAGTGTGGATGAAATGTCTCAAACCATCACTGACCTGCTCAGTGAGCAAAGGGTAAAGCACATTTTTATGTCACAAAGTGATGCCAAGTGACCTTTTCTGCCATTTTACAACCATTTGGTTTCTCTTTTTAGACCTCCTCTTCGCTCATTACTCTAAGATCAAGAGCATTAACTCCACAGTCCGAAGGAAAGTCGGGGACTGTAACCCCCATGTCCTCTAAAACACCTCCTTCTCTTAGCCTTCAGGGGCCCAGCTGCCAGCCCCTACATGTACCCATCCCAGCTCCTTTAGAGGATTTATCCCCAGACAGCATTGATGCACAAACATTTGACTTTGAAACCATCGGCCACCCCAACATGGATCCAGTCCTGCAGCAGGGATCCCTCGACTTGGACTCTCTTGCGGAGAGCCCCGAGTCTGACTTCATGTCTGCCGTCAACGAGTTTGTGATCGAAGAGAACTTGACCTCCCCCAATCCCATCAGCGACCCCACAAGTCCAGAGATGATGGTGGAGTCGCTGTACTCCTCAGTGATTAACGCTATCGACAACAAGCGAATGCAGGACACCACGACACTCGCCAAGGAGAACTTGAGGATTTCTGAACTCAAAAAAGTTGCGGAGAAGTACAGAAGTGCTGCAGAGGAATCCCACTCTAAGTTAAGAAGTGTAAAAGATGACCTCTTCTACCTAAGAGGTCTGGTATCAAAAGAGCAACATGACTTTGGGATCATTCTGCGTGGTTTGAGTTTGGAAGTGCGCGCTACGGTGGATGACATTTGCCATACACGGGAGACCGAGTTAAAGGAGCAACATCAAGTTGAGCTTCTGATTCTTCAGCAAGAGCACAAGAAGCAGGTTCATATACTGGCGGAGGAGAACCAAGTCAACCAGAAGATTGTCAGAGACGTCCAACGTGCGATGCTGGAGCTGGAGGGGCTGATGGAGCGCAAAGAGAAAGAGCTTACTCAGCTGGAGAATGAAAAAGAGCGATGGGGAGAAAAAGAGAGTAACCTCACTGATAAGATCAAAAACTTTGAGCAGATTATCAGCGATCAGTCTGAAGAGATCAAGACGCTTTCAGCCTCAAGGGAGTCTCTGACCAGCCAGCTTGGAAACCTGCACTTTGAGATTGAACGCAGTCAGCAAAAGATCCGGCAGGAGCTGGAAGCCGTCGCTCAGTGCAGCTTAAAGGAGCTGGAGGACAGGATGAAGCAGGAACACAACTTGGAACTGGAGAGCCTGAGTAAGAATAACCAAGAGGCTTTGGAAAATCTCGCTGCGGAGAATAACGCAAAGTTAGCGGAGGCAGCTGATCACCACGCCACCACCATTAAAGGCAAGGATGCACAAATGATTGACCTGGAAGCTCAAATCACTGAGCTTTCAGAGCTTCGCTGCAAACTAGAGGTGGAGCTGGCCCTTAAAGAGTCTGAGACTGAAGAAATTAGGGTCCTATTTGAAGAGGCCAAAGTTCAACAGGCAGAGGCTGTAAACACCCAAATCGAGAGTGAGACCAAAGTACTTAGAGACAAGCTGGCAGGTCTGGAAAGACAGCTTCAAGCTAAGAATGAAGAGTATGAGGTGGGCCTAGCGGAGCTGAGAACTCTCATGAGGATTGAAAAGGACCACTGCATCTCTGAGCTGGTGGACAGGCATGAAGAGGAGGCCGCTCTACTCCAGAGCAAGCTCTTAATCCTGCAGCAGCAATCCCAGAATGCTGAGAGAAGCCACACTGAGGAGCAGCAGAAACTCAAAGAAGAGTTGCATCAGCAAGTGGCTGCGCTCAGCGACCAAAATGAAAAGCAGAGGAGCTTCCAAGAACTGGAGCAGGAGTTGAGGACTGTCATCAACCGTCTGCAGGCAGAGAATGAACTACAGGCTAAAAGAATAGAGCAGGACAACCAGAGAGTCCAGGAGGATGTAGAAAACGATGTTGTTGCACTAGATGTCTTTAAAGAGTTGGAGCAGGAGAAGGAGGCGATGGAGAAGAAACTTTCAGAGAAAATTAGACAACTTGAGAAAGAGCTTCAAGAGAAGCAGTCTTTAAAAAGGTAAACTCCGTCTGTTTCTACAAATGTGTTTCAATCTCTCAGACACTACCGTTTTGTCAGGAATCATCTTAGCTGTGTGTGTTTTAGTGATGAAGGGTTGTCGCTGTACGCTGAGGGCCATGCAGACGCAGGAGCACCCTTGTCTCTGGACTCTGCTTTACAAGAGCGCCTGCAGCAGGAGAGGGCCTCGCTGCAGACGCAGCTGGAACTCCTGGAGAAGAAGAAGAATGAAGAGATTCAGAACCTCAAGACTTCACTAATTGCAGAGCAGCAGGTTCGTTTTTAGGTTGTAAAACATTCTTAAAGGGACTTTACAGAGTTTTGAATTTTTATGCTCGCGATTGCCCCCTCAGGCCAAAAGCGTAACGGCAGTTTCAATAGTAGACTCGTGCACGAGGCGCGCATGCTGTATGTGCACACTCCTTAACGAAAATAACAGCCGAGACTCCCGTGTGTGTGTGTGTGTGTGTGTGTGTGTGTGTGTGTGTGTGTGTGTGTGTGTGTGTGTGTGTGTGGTGGTGGTGGTGGGGGGGGGGGGGGGGGGGGGGGGGGGGGGGCAGAGGACAGGAGAACATGCAGCTAATTAATTAAATAATTAGATTCTGTACATTTCTCTTCAGCACAGCCGACAAAGGTTTATGATGGGTCAGTCCTCCTGCATGCTCAGATCATTCCCTTCCCTTGCTTGAAAAATTGTTCCAAAATGAAAGTTGAACCCACATCTTTTTTTTATCTGTGAATTCAATGCCGTTCGGCGAGTATCAAATAAAAATTTGGGTATCTTACTGTAAAAAAATATATCATTAATGTAAAAAAGAAACTCTAAATAAATTATGTTCGCATCAAGAATCGACCCTGGATCCTCTGCACGAGAGTCCGACGTCTTACTAGGCGAGCTAAAGCACCAGTGATGTCCTTTGTATCTAACATTTATATCCTTGATGACATCTGAAACAACATTCAAAGAACGGTTCGGAGGGCTATGCCTGAGCGTGAACGCGCATGAAGCAGCCTGCTCGACCCGAGCAGCTCTTTTTCTGTGATTTTACAGAAAAACAGGCAATCACAGTAAAAATCCCAGGGCTCATTCTACAGGACCAGGGCATTGCAGGAGAATGTATGAAGAAGAAATTTATTATTTCTATACATGTTTTGGCTGTCAAACTTCCATAATGCCCCTTTAAGGCTGTTTGGATTGTTTTTCTGAAAGCTACTAACCACACAAGAAGTTAAATGTGTGAAATCTGCTAGTTGGAAACAGCACAGTCTCAGGTGAGCCCTTTGTGTGACTATATGAGTCAAATAAACATTGCATGGTCTGGAAAAAGTCACCGCCTAGATTACTGAGGAAAATTACTGCAGTGCTTCCAAAAACAATATTTTCTTTACTCCAAACAGATATAGCAAGTCATTGATTATTACTCAAACAACCAGGTTGCAGTTTTTCACAACCAGAGAGAACAAATACGAAAATATCTAAAATGACTGCAGTAATGTTTTCTTTGATGCATTAATGAGACCTGGCGGGAATGTGCTGAACCTTCGGCTTGAGGGATGAAATTGCCAAGTTTTTAATAATGGGAAAAAAAGTTTTAACTTTTTAAAAATGAAAATAAGTTTATAAAATAAAAATTAATAAGAACAAATGATGATTAATAATAGAATGAAAAAATAAAATAAAGGAAAAAGGTAATAAAATTCTTTAAAAAACAACCAAAATATTAAAATTTAAAAGATAATTAAATTAAAATAAAATGTAAAGAAATAAACTTTTTAAAATGGAAAAATACAAGCAAATACAATGTATTAAAAATAAATGATGAAAGATGATTAAAATATATTTAAAAATTAAAATCAATTCAAAAAGGAATTAGAAACTTTTTGAAAATGAACTGAAAAATAAGAACTAATCTAGTTAATTTAAATAAATAAATGATGAAAAATTATCTAAATTAGTAATTAAAAATATAATTAAAATTATTTATTTTTCAGTTTTTTAAACAAATTAATTAGAAATGTGACCATTTGTTGAAGTCAAACAGAAAGCTATCAACTAAAGAACTTCTCTCTGTTGAGTAACTGAAAGTAAAACATTATTTAATAAAATATTGTTCAACTCTAATTTATCCGCTTGACATTGAGGCCAATCAATTCAAAAGGCTTTGATTTGCTAAAGAACACAAAAGTTTCATTCTAGGAATGGAAAAGGGTCATGTGGTCTGAATCCAGACTGTTTTAGGGTTATGGGATGTGTGCTTTTAAACGCCTGTATACGAATCCCATGAACTTGAGAGTGAAAATTACCACTGATGTATGGAGTCCTCCAATTCAAATTATATCCAGTCACTTGTGTTTTAAACCAAAATTTACCTAATGTGAACTTTTTCCTGCAATTTCTTAGACAAATTTCAACACAGTTCTCACCCGAGAAAAGATGAAGAAGGAGCAGATTGTCGGTGAGCTCACGGAGAAACTGCAGACTGTTACTCAGCAGCAGGAAAAGGACAAAGGTAAGAGCTTTACTGTCAAAACAGCGTGGCTTGTCAAAAAAGATGTTACTGGAAAGTATGCACCAACTAAATAAACTGTTTCTGCATGTAAAGGACATGAGTAATCTTTATGGACTCATTATTTCTGATCAAGGTCTGATAGAGACGCTGTCCGAGGACCGAGCTAGTCTGATGCAGGAGAAGAAGCAGCTGGAGGAGGAGCTAAACCACCTGCGCAGCACTACGCTGGTGTCCTCAGCTTTCTTTGCCCCTAATCCCTCTGGTCCAGATGTCTCAGATGCTGGAGCAGCAGCAGCCAGAGCTCTGCCCGTGGCTGAGGCCTTTGAGGCCATGTCTGACGCCGACAGGCTGGCCTCTGTGGCGGCCATTCGAGATGACGTCGATTCAGCAGTGGAAGCCAGCATGGTGGCCGTCCAGTAAGCCATTAGTGTTTACATTTGAGATGTGCTCCTTAGAGTGGGCTCTAACGTGTCTCTAAAGTACGATTAAGACCAGGGTTCGAATTATGGGGCAGCCAAAGGGGGAAGCCTAATTTATACTTCTCCGACTGCGTCGGGACGGAGACGCAACGTCAGTTATGTGTCGACACAAGATCCCTCCAACGTGCTCGCAGAGGAAGACGGAGACATGCCCCAATTTTTAGCTATCTGTCGAAAGAGACCGATAACGCAATCTTGCGATTGATTGGTCAGGACGCTGCTTCCTGTAAATTTGTCAATAGCACCATCTTTGCAGCTTCGAAAAGTAAAGACATATTTAGCGGCAGATACGGAACAGATTGAAGAACGCATCGTGGAAAAAGTCAGCAAATATGAACACTTATTCACTCGTGACTGAAGGAGTACAAAGATATTTTATTTATTTATGTATTTAACTTATGTTTTTCAGGAGGATAAACTGCTTGAGATGTAACATCTCGTTTTCAAGCAGGTCCTCCTACAACACAACCAATAACAAATAAGGTGGCAGAGTTAGAAAGTTATAACAGACTTAAAAAAAAAAAAGAAAAGAAGGAAAGTAAATAAATAATAATAGTAAAATTAACGATATCTATCTATATCTATCTATCTATTTATCTATCTATATATATATATATATATATATATATATATATACATATACATACACACGTAAATATAAACACATAAGCATGGATACATAGATACCCACACGTGTACATACGTACATACATACTTATATACAAAATTAAATTAAATAAAACTGCTGTGAGACAGAGAAATAAGGGCAAGAAATTACAGCAAGCGTTTTATTTGTGGACAGAAAAGACGAGAAGCGTGAGTTTAGAAGAGGTGGAGGGGAATGAGGGACATATTTGTTCATGTTAAAGTCTCTGAAATGCATTAAAACAATAGAAACAATAGTAAATACACTATCGTGGACCGGATACGTGACTGTAATGGTTGCAGGAAAACCCAGAATAGCCCTACGTCCTCTGTTGTCCCGGCGGGAAATTGTTTTGCAACAATCCTCAGGTGACTGAGAAGTCCGAAAGCAAGACGTCGTTGTCGATGTGTGTGCGTCTCCGCCTCGCAGAGCTGACAGAGAAGTATAAATTAGGCTTAAGGCTACACATTCTCATGCACTGGTCAGCACAGTGAGTTGTTTCAAACGAGATGTTGTCCGTGATGCAAAGTCTGTGTGCAAGAGCAGTTCATCTGCAAGATTAGATTTGAAACAGAAATTTAGATTTGCATCAACATATTTCAAAGTAGAAAACAGATGAGAGTAAATGGTCTTAAAATCTCATCAAAAGAAATCATGTTTACAATTAAAATTTAGTAAATCTAGTTCCAAAGTTCCAACTGTAGCAACGGTAAAGGATTTCAAGGGTAGCTTCAAGGGTTGGACGGCAACTTTTGACAGCAGAAAGAAGTCAAGCTAGTGTCAAGAGTTTATTGTATGTTTTTCTTGTTTTGATTAATCAAGATAAAAACGATGACACTTTCTTAGTTTCTTTAGTTAGTCCTTTTGTAGTTGACAACTATTGTTATTTTAACTGTAGTGACAGCATGATGTCTGAGGAGAAACAACGGATAATCTTACTTGAGAGGGTGAGTATACATCCTGGATTTATGTGGTGACCACATGGAAAGTGTTGCTTTTCTGTGCCAGTGACTGACGATCTCTTAAACGTTTCAGACGTTACACATGAAGGAAGAAGAAAACAAGCGCCTCAGCCAAAGACTGGTCAGTTAATCAGCTTCGCCACTAGGTGGCAGTAGCATCAAAGAGTAAAACTGCTTTTGAAGGCTAAATCTTAATGAGAAATGGAGGTTTTGTAAAATGTTCCATAATGTGTGCAAAGTGCTAAAATTTCATTCCACCTTTATTATTTAGAAACATAAACAACTATTAATGAAAATGTAAAAAAATGTTTTTGTGTTTTTTTTAACAAAGCACAAAGTTTTAATCATATCTAATTCTAAGATGTGTCCTAAAATGTTGTTACATAGATCAACGTTAAATGCTTTTCTCCTCCTCCTTAAAGCAGCATTTTGCCTGATTTCTGTCCTTTTTGCAGATGTCTCAAAGCATGTCGTCCGTGTCATCGCGGCATTCAGACAAAATCGCCATCAGAGAGTAAGTGAATAATAAAATAACTGACGGCATTAGCATGTCCTCACCAATTTGAATTTTAACAATTATGTTTTCAGCTGAAACTCATTACATGCGGTGTAATTACACACCTTATTATATTATTATTACCATTATGGTGTTGTTTGCACTTTGCAGAACTTGGTGTCATCATCTCTTTGTCTGTTTGTTCGACCTTTTTGTGTTTCAGTTTTCAGGTTGGCGATTTGGTTCTAATCATCCTGGATGAAAGGCACGACAACTACGTGTTGTTCACCGTCGGTCCCACGCTTTACTTCCTCCACTCAGAGTCTCTCACCGCACTGGACCTCAAACCAGGTCAGCGTCTTTCAAACCTTCTGAAATCATTTGTTTTATTGTTTACAAATAATAGAGTAAGGCATATTAGAGTTGATCATAGTCATGCTTATTCTGTTAAATAAATCGGTTATGGATTGTTTGCTATTCTTGCTTGCTTACTGAATAATTTTTGTCCTGATATTAAGCATCAGGGACCTCCAGACGGCCATGGGTTCTTGGAAAAGTGATGGAGAAGGAGTATTGTCAGGCAAAAAAGGTGCTTAGAACTTTTTAAAATCCTTTTTCTAAACTATGTATTTAAAACAAACAAAATAAACCTCACTGAATATAAGTGTTTTTCTCCCCAATCATGCTTACAAAGTTGTCTTTTCTTCATCTGCAGGCCCAGAACAGATTCAAGGTTCCTTTAGGAACAAAGTTCTACAGAGTGAAAGCCGTTCCGTGGAACAGAAAAGTATAATAGCCAAGTAATGAGCTCAAAAAAGTACATTTATTTTAATTTTTGAACAGAAGCATCTTGTTTCCGAACTTTAACAGCAGAAGACCTTACAGATTTAAAGACTCGACATCAACATCATGTTTTGTTTTTTGCACTTATGTTCAAAATCTCACCTGCTATCACATTTTCTTTTAAATCCAGATTTGTTTATTGTGGACCAAATGCTATTAATCTTCTTGGGGCATTTGCCCGCTACACTGTGGCATTGCCCCCCCCCCCCCCCCCCCCCCGACCTGTGTGGAATTGAACCGAATTTGGATGTTAAATATTAGTTCTCATTATCAGCATTTGTCCTCTTGTGGAAAAAACACTGTCGTTATCATAATCATTGAATACAATTTATAATAAATGTTAATGGAGGAATGTTCACGGCATGCATATTGGAATATTTTCTTTCATTTACTTACCAGATAAATGTTGTAGTTGGAAATGTAGTTAATGCTGTATGTTACTCACAGCCAGTATCTGCCGATACTGAGGTGTACATTATGACTGACTGAAGGAAGCAGTCGTCTTTGCAATCCTCGAAATGCACTTTGAAAAGCAACGCTTTTGTTAATTTGAAAAAGGGAAGTTAACTGAGCTGTTTGAACTAAGTAAATATATCAGCACAAACTTCTCGTTATCATAGATTATTGATATGTAGAAAGGAAAAACATCGTGACTGTGTTTCATTATCGAGAGACATTGTATATTACGCATAAAAAAAATCACATGTAACAATAAATGACTGTATTGTAAAGGATAGAGTTTTGAAACAATAAAGGATTGATCCCCAAGAGACTGTTTACTTTTATTTTGACAATTTTTATATAAACTAACTTTTTAATAAACTAAAGAAAAAATAGAAATCAGTTTTTTTAAATCAAAAAGGTTAAAAGCTCTGGTTTAGATTTTGTAAAATATTTTAAAAAGGACAATTCAGGCTTTCTTTTCACGCAGCAGCAGAGCATAGTGATGTTGCGGGAATTTCCTGTGGACTCGGAGAGAAAAAACTGTGTAAAATAGCACAATCTATTGTGTTCATTTGATGTAGCATTTTTATTTTTTCGCTTTTGTGCAAATATAAATGCTGGCGCTCGGCTGCAGGAAACAGACTTCAAAAAGGCTTCTAAAACGGGGCCCAAGAACGATGCGGCCCTCATGGAGAAGGAAGCCCACCAACATCACTTTCCCAGTTCACAGCGGGGAGCATAGCACTCTCTACCATGTGGGTCTAGGGGTGTTTTAACAATGTTTAGCTCTATTTTCTCCATTTAGCATAAGCCTGTTGTCACATTTGGATGGCTCCTTCATAAATTGATGGTGTGATTCCTACAATTTCGGGACAGGCCTGAATGACAAAATATGCAACACAACATTTGATACCGAGGTGGTTGGCAAGCACCAACCATGTGCACTGGACAGGCTCTTAGTGTAAATGTTTACAACCCCCCACTGAGCTCAGTGCTGCTGGGAGTCAGGCTCATCAGGCTGAATGAGATTTAACATTGCCATGTGTAGTCTGTTGCTACTTCCGCTGTTAAAACTGCTTTTAACTCACTGTTTGGTTTTCATCACCAAACCCTCTGATATTAAGCAGCATGCAGATAAAAATGTGATCCATACGTATTAGTTTTTCAATATGCTTGTTTTCTTGACATACAATTAAAAAAAAATTATGTAAACATGTTTCTAAATTGATCCCAAGAGCCAAAGTGTTTTATTACAGTAAATAAATGTGTTTGTGTTTCTCATACACTCGTGCATTTGACAATTATTTTCATGTAATTTACAAAAATAGTTGCGTAACATTGGATTAGAATGCTGACAAATATTTTTCTAGTTCAAAATTAAAGTTTAAAAACAATCTTTCCACTAGCCATGCAGCGATATGAAATTTTAGGCCAATACCAATATTAATATCACTCCTATGGTTGATAACTGATATTTGCCGATTCATAATATATATATATATATATATATATATATATATATATATATATATATATATATATACACACACACACACTCAACAAAAATATAAATGCAACACCTTTGTTTCTGCTCCGATTTTTCATGAGATGGACTTAAAAACCTAAAATTCATTCCAGATACACAATATTACCATTTCTCTCAAACTTTGTTCACGAGTCAGTCTAAATGTGTGATAGTGAGCACCTGTGCTTTGCTGAGATAATCCATCCCACCTCACAGGTGTGCCACATCAAGATGCTGATCTGACATCATGAGTAGTGCACAGGTGTACTTTATACTGCGAGGCGTCCTTCCAGTGTTATGGCCCTTGCCTCTGGAACGAGTTGCCAGAGGACCTCAGGGCTGTAGAGAACGTAAATGTTTTTAAGTCCAGGCTCAGGACCCATCTTTTTAGGTTAGCTTTTATCTAAATATTTACTACAGTTTTATTTCTCGTTTTACATGATTATATTTTATTGCTTGCTTTGCATGTTTTATATGATTTTATTTATTACTTATTTTCTAACTTTTGTCCCTAATATTAGCTCTTTTATTATATTTTTACTCATTTTAATCCAGTGTTTCCTCTGTAGGGGCCCTCTGCCCCGGGAGCGGTGGTCGACTGTAGCTTCCTGGGTGCTCTATAGGTAGTGTTTAAGTGGAGGTGGGGGTCTATGCTCCTCCTCCACTGAGCGCGCTGACTTAGTGTGGAAGACCTGATGCTGCCTGGGCAGACGGCTCCTCTGATGGCGTTTCCTTACCTTACCTACTTGGCTCATCTGGACTCAGCCAAATATAATTTTTACTTGTATGTGTGTGTGGGTGCGTGTGTGTGTGTGTGTGTGCTTGCATATGTCTGTTAATGTTTTTAACCTGTTATGGGAATCTGGGGTCATTTTGTAAAGCACTTTGAGTAGCACTTTGTTTGAAAAGCGCTTTATAAATAAATCTGATTGATTGATTGATTATACTGCCCACAATAAAAGGTCACAGTGGAATGTGCAGTTTTTTGCTTTATTGGGGGTCTGGGGACTCAGAACCGGTCAGTATCTGGTGTGACCACCATTTGCCTCATGCAGTGCAACACATCTTCTTCGCATAGAGTTTATCAGATTGTCAATTGTGGCCTGTGGAATGTTGATCCACTCCTCTTCAATGGCTGTGCGAAGTTGTTGGATATTAGTGGGAACTGGTACACACTGTCGTATACGCCGGTCAAGCACATCCCAAACATGCTCAAAGGTTGACATGTCCGGTGAGTATGCTGGCCATGCAAGAACTGGGACATTTTCAGCTTCCAAGAATTGTGTACAGATCCTTGCAACATGGGGCCTTGCATTATCTTGCTGAAACATGAGGTGATGTTCATGGATGTACGGCACAACAATGGGCCTCAGGATCTCATCACGGTATCTCTGTGCATTCAAAATGCCATCAATAAAATGCACCTGTGTTCTTCGTCCATAACAGATGCCTGCCCATACCATAACCCCACCACCACCATGGGCCACTCGATCCACAACATTGACATCAGCAAAGCGCTCACCCACACGACGCCACACACGCTGTCTGCCATCTGCCCTAACAATGTAAACTGAGATTCATCCGTGAAGAGAACACCTCTCCAACATGCCAGACGCCATCGAATGTGTGCATTTGCCCACTCAAGTCTGTTATGGCGACGAGCTGGAGTCAGGTCAAGACCCTGATGAGGACGACGAGCATGCAGTTGAGCTTCCCTGAGACGGTTTCTGACAGTTTGTGCAGAAATTGTTTGGTTATGCAAACCAATTGTTGTATCAGCTGTCTGAGTGGCTGTCTCAGACGATCTTGGAGGTGAACGTGCTGGATGTGGAGGTCCTGGGCTGGTGTAGTTACACGTCGTCTGTGGTTGTGAGGCTGGTTGGATGTACCGCCATATTCTCTGAAACGCCTTTGGAGACGGCTTATGGTGGAGAAATGAACATTCAATGCATGAGCAACAGATCTGGTTGACATTCCTGCTGTCAGCATGCCAACTGCACGCTCCCTCAATGCTTGTGGCATCTGTGGCATTTTGCTGTGAGACAAAACTGCACATTCCAGGGTGGCCTTTTATTGTGGGCAGTATAAGGTACACCTGTGCACTACTCATGATGTTGGATCAGCATCTTGATGTGGCACACCTGTGAGGTGGGATGGATTATCTCAGCAAAGCAGAAGTGCTCACTATCACACATTTAGACTGATTCGTGAACAATGTTGGAGAGAAATGGTAATATTGTGTATCTGGAATGAATTTTAGGTCTTCAAGTCCATCTCATGAAAAATCAGAGCAGAAACAAAGGTGTTGCGTTTATATTTTTGTTGAGTGTATATATATATATATATATATATATATATATATATATATATATATATATATATATATATATATATATATATATATACACACACACATACATACATACATACATACATACATACATACAATAAAGGCCAAAAGTTTGGACACACGTTCTCATTCAATGTGTTTTCTTTATTTTCATGACCATTTAAAGGGGGCCAACAAGTGCTAAACACCTCTGGGAACTCCTTCAAGATTGTTAAAAAGCCATTTCAGGTGACTGCCTTTTGATGCTCATCAAAAGAATGCCAAGACTGTGTAGAGCAGTAATCAGAGTAAAGAGTGGCCATTTTGCAGAAAATAGAATATAAAACATCAGTTATTTCACTTTTATTGGTTAAGTACATAACTCCACATGTGTTCATTCATAGTTCATGCCTTCAGTGAGAATCTACCAATGTAAACGGTCATGAAAATAAAGAAAACACATCGAATGAGAAGGTGTGTCCAAACTTTTGGCCTGTACTGTATATGTGTGTGTGTGTGTGTGTGTGTGTGTGTGTGTGTGTTTGATTACTATCACTGTCACATGACTAAACAATTACACATCGTTACCCTCTGAAACAGATGCATAAACAGAAACAACATGGGAAAAAATCAGTTGTTAATATTGGCCCAGTGTCACTTATCGGACCGATACCGATAAATTAAAAAATGCTTAACATCGGCCAATACCGATACTGATGCCGCTATATCGTGCATCCCAACTTTCCACCACTGATTTTCTCAGAGTTTAAGAACTTATTTTTTATGCATCTTTTAAAATCCTCCTTATAGTCAAATTTGGATTAGAAATCCTAAAAATGTTGAACAAACAGAGTTAATCTGCAAAATCAAATAAAAGCTATTTTATGATCAAAATGACCAAACTTTATAGTGACTGATATCACTTTCAGTACATATTAAAAAGATGCATTTAAAAAACTATTTAAAATTCAAATGTTATTTTACTCAATTTTGGAATAAAATTACAGTTTACTTTTTAAAAACTGAAATAAAGTAAATTAAACATAACAGACTCAATACAGTTCCACATAAAAAAAACAATGACTTATTTTGCCAGCATCATTGAAAAGTTAGACGTTTTCTGCACAAAAGTCTGGATCCAGTATTTGTCCAGACAGATAATCTGATGCAGCTTTTTAAAACACCTTCATCTGAAATACAAAGACTTGTTAAAATGGCTTTTCTTTTCATGTCAACACCTTCTAAAGGCACAAAATTAAGATTTAGACGAGTGAATGTAAAATATCAAACCGGTGTCAGAGTGCCTCGCGGTCTTAGATTGTGCCCCTTTTGTCACTGATATATGCCGGATTTGAAGATAATACACAAGTTTTGTCTGATTTCCCTAAAATCTCCCCGACAGGATCCAAGGATTGATGGCACCGCAAATAAACAAGCATTATCTGAGGGGGTAAATATATGCATGAACTTCA